CAAATCGTCAGTCCAGTAGCTGTACCAGCTTTTAGTCTTTCCCACTGTCAGTAGCCAGAAGAAGCAAAAAGCATTGCTCACATCGTAGCAGACAGCAGGCTTTTCACTCACATTAAGTGCGGCCAGTACCTTTTAGATGTGTTTGGACTGCAAACTTGTTGTGTGTAAACCAGCCTGCTAGTCAGATTACGGGTAAATAAAGGTAGGCATTACAAAAACTAGCAATGCACAAGTCAAATAACCTGATTTTCATAAACCTGGGTGAAAATGAGTCAGTTGCCCAAGAAATGTAAGAAATGCTCTGGTCTGCTTGTTTAGGCTCCATCTCCTCAGTCCAAACCGAGACATGGAGGAAACGGCAGGAGCAGCTCGGATCAGCCTACATCTCCTCGGTCTAAACCGAAACACGAGGCGAGCAGCAGGAGCGGTCACTCCAGCAGCTCCCCTCCACAGTACAAACTCCACAGCTTCAGCCTCCTCAACTACGACAAGGAGCGGCTGGAGAGGAAGGTAGTACTGCGTGTTCATGCGGCCCGAGTCGACCCACAACGTGCACTTCACTGATGCTTACAATGGCCCGAAGGCGCCAAGGTCTCGTCACTCATTACGCTTGTCTCTCAGATTACAGAGTACAGAAAGAACAAGCAGGAACCCCCGTCTGACCTCATCCCTCAGCACAAAGAGGTCATACACCGACTGCAGTGGCAGAAAGCACAGCTGGAACGAGCCTCTCCTGCCATGCTCACAGGTAACACACACACACATCTCTTACTTTTGAACATGTGCTTTTACCCCTCCCTAAAATCTTAGCCTGACTCAGTTTTGGAACAACTTGACCGAGACAGGAAAGTCTTTTGTCGACAGCATCTATGTAGAGCAGTCCAGGTCCTCAAAGTATTGGCTGATAGCAGCACACAGCTCCATCACAAGTCCATCACAGGGATCACCACTACAGCCTAGAATTGTTTCAGCTAAATGGAACAGTTTTTGTCATTTTTGCTCTGTATACCACAATATTAGATATTAGATTCAGATTCAGTTGCTGGTTTTTTGTGACTCTTTGCATTCACAAACTATTTAATAACTGAAAAGCTCCTTTAGGTTAGACTGTCCCATTTTTTTGCCTTGCGTTTCATTATTCTTTTGCACTGTGAAGTGAAGTCGGATCAGTTTTGCAGCATTTGGCTGAATCTGAGCAGCGCCCTGTGCACTTCAGAATTGATCTTGCAAAACTCCAAATCTAACTTTTAAATTATTACATTGATGAACGTCTGGTTATGGATGCAACAACATCTCTGCAGCTTCTTTTTTGTCAGGCAGGTTTTGTGGCAGCTTTAATTTTTGCAGTAATTCAGTCTGATAGATGCATCAAATTGGCACTCAAGTCATAAATTGAGGATTCCTCTCTGCGGAGAAAGTAAAAGTTGTTTTATTATTAAGGATTATTAAAGGTTTCCTGCTGCTGTCACTGTCTCTGCATCTCAGAGAAACTCTACCTGCATTTGGCAGTGTCCCTCAGAGTGGTTGGTTGGTCGGTTAGTTGGTTAGGTGTGGGCTTTGCTGTCCTTGTTGCTGCTGTGTCAGTCTCTTGATGTGTGTGATTGTGCTGCCACTCCACAGATCCTGTGGTGGAGGCTGCTGCATTGAGGGGCCATGAGTTGCCCTTGCGTGCAACTTTACCCAAAGCACAGGCAGAAACGAGCTGTTTTATGGTTACTGGTTTATTTGTTCTAAATCTACTGAGGAAAGCAAACACAAGACTCACTGGCTGAAGAAAAAAAGACAATTAGCTTTGAGTAACAAGACGTCTCCGTATAACACTGTCCAACTCAAGAGTACATAGGTGGCAGTGCTTCCTTCCTGGCTTGCAGTTGTAGCTGAAGAACAGACTCATTGCTCACAGAAAAGCTTATAAACAAAATACTATACAATGTTAAAAAAACAACAACAAAGAATGCATAAATAACAAATGCAGCATAACTATTTCTCAATATGGGATTTGAAAAAAAATCTAAAAATCAGTATGATGGCAAAAACTGAGCCTAAATCCCAGGTCGGGATGAACTGTTTATCCATCACTTCTTTCTGTTTTCTCTCAAAAAATTCATTCTGTTTAAGATGATGATAACAAATCATGTAACTCACTTTTTCCTTCACCACATGTGCAGAATATGAAAACGTGCTGCAACGCTTCGTTCAAGGACTTTCTGAGTCTGTGAAAAAATACTCCAGCCAAGGAAACCGGGTGAGTGCAGGGTCAGGGTATGGACAGACATTTGTGTGTGTGTGTGTGTGTGTGTGTATGTGTGCATGTGTTTTAGTGTGAAAACTTTTTTTTTTTATTCTCCTTATATAGGACGCTGCCAAGGATGCACTGGGCAGGTTGAAGATGGTTGAGAATGAGGTAAGGCTTGCTGTTGTGTAATTGTCATGTGTATATAAAAGCAGTTTGTTCAGTGTGTTTACACCTTCTCTCTGCTCCAGCTGGAATCGCTGAAGAGGAAACGCACTGGATGAGAGCAGAATAAGGAGTGGAGCCCTGGCTGGAGTACTGTTTTCTCTCTCTCTCTTTCTCTTTCTCTCATACACACTCATATACCAAACGCTACAGTGGGTACAATAAGCACCTTTAGCATGATTCAGTGCTGCAAAACAACTGCATGAGCTAAACTGCTAATGCAGTCAGTTGTTCATTTAGCTTGTGTCATATGTGGTTAGTTACCTGCCACAATAACCTAACAAACGGCTGCAGCCGCCAAGCAGACGGCAATTAAAAACACATCCAAATGTGTAAAGAGGGAGATGCATTTGCACTTAAACAAGACAAACACTACAGGAAACTGCTTCTAAAGAATGGCTTTACAGACTTTACTGGTATTCTATTTTGTTTTGGGTTTTTTTT